TGAAGATGAAACATTTGTGAAATACGCCACATCTAGAAGTAGTTACCATCCCAGCACCCAGAATCGTATTTGCCGCCCGAAAACAGATCTTTATATATATATATATATATATATGTATATGTGTGTGTGTGTGTGTGTGTGTGTGATTTTCTAAGCGTAACGAGGATGTGGAACATGGACGTAAATATGAGGCACCCAGTGAGAATCTAATTCACTATTTAACCATAACTGTTCTAGCAAGACAAGCTTGCTAACCATTACACCACATCGAAGTGCCCAAAGAGAATTATTGTGTATGTTTCTTTTATTTAATTTTACATTGTCTTTAATGAATTCAAAATCATGATTACCCATAGAGAAATGATTTCTCTTTATAATTTTATATTTTTTATTCTGACCATTTACTTTCTTTTGGTTAAACAATTAGATGCAAATACAGTTAGACAATTTTGTTGCCCCCCCCCCACTTTCAATCCATAAGTTACACCAGGAGGAAACCGTTTGCATTCGGACAAAAAATGATTTGCGTAGTGACACAAATAATAGAAAGGTGCATATGTGTCTTTTCACCGGATTTATTCAACATCTACAGTTAGCCTCAGGAAGCTGGAAACGCGACCATCATTTAAAATCGATAGACACAATCTTCACAATATATATATATATATATATATATATATATATATATATAAATTTGAGCAACATCGAGCCGACACACTGGGGTTAAAAATAGGAAACTGAAATGATACATATGACATACTCATATCCTCTCTCCCACCTCACTCCCTCAACTTTGCGTATACTTGATGAGGTCCGTCAAAAACGTGTGAATTTCTTTTTCATTTTTCATTTCAGCTTTTGGAAGTAAAGTCTGATGATCCAGAACCCTGTTAAAGGGGTTATGGTGAAATAGTTTATTACATCGAATCTTAACGTGGTCTGTCTTTTATTCAAAATATATATATATATATATATATATATATATATATATATATATATATATATAAAACCTCTGTCTGTCTGTCCGTTTGTTTGTTATCGAATTTCTCCCAACGACGATATATATTCTGAAACTACATTACCAGGGGTACTTGAATAAGTATATTTCATTTTGATCAATGAGGGTTGCCAGTGGGGGGGATGCACCCCCACTGTATTTTCTCCGTTTTATTTATATTTGAACAAGAGAATGACTCCTATCTAAAAAAAAAATAAGAGAAAGCAAGAACATGGCGGTCACATCGGCAAGATTATTTTGTTCAAAAGGGGTCCCTGGTAAGAACACCCCCGCTGATTTTTTTTCCCTTTGATTTAAACTAAATTTAAATTTCAACAATGGAATGACCCCTAGGGCACTTGGATATATATGTTTCATTTTGATCCAAGCGAGTCGCTGAAAACTTTACCGTTTATTAAATCAAAATTAATTTTGAACAAGGAGATGACTCCTATCCAAAATATAGAAGGAGAAAGACAGAAGATGGCGGTCACATCAGGAAGATCAAAACGAGACAATATGGAGTATTGTAATCCACTACCCACCAATCAGTGTGTAGCACCCTACAATACATATTTGTTGCGACAATTCAACTTTTGAAATCTTAGTATTACTTCAAATACATATCAAAGAGTTAGATCAAGCTGTTTTTGCATACCCTCCACTGTTTTCCCCTTTGATTAAAATTAAATTTAAATTTGAACAAGGGAATGACTCCTATCCAAAATATAGAAGGAGAAAACCAGAAGATAGAGATCACATTGGCAACATCATTGTGTAATAGTGAACACATCAGTTTTCTCCACAAATTATAAGAATGATATAAAATCAATCATTATTTTCTTACAAAAATTGTGTGACATGCAGCAAGGCACGGGTAATTCGGCTAGTATAATAAAGTTTATAAATACATCTGCAAAATGACCGCGACCACATCATCAATAATATTGCCCTGGGATCCTTAGGAGTTTCAGGTTTATCCAACGTCAGATTCCTTCACTCAGTTGACCCTGCTGATGGTGATCAAATACAAATATTTGACCGCCCAACGAGCAGTGGGAGAATCACTTGTAGAATGCAAATGGATTAAAAAAAAAACATTTTGTAACCTTAAAAACCACAAATCAGCTTACTTCCAATCAAATTTGTCCGCACAACAAAACATCAGAATGAGAGAATCCAAAATTCAACCTTCCCTAATCCATAAATAGAGCAGATGAACCCGCGGGCGAATTTAGGCGCTCAGAATGATCAGCAACGTGTAAATTTCTTCATTCTAAAAGAACAAAAATGTTACATTCATTTATACTCGCACAAACATTCATACGTTAACTCACAAAAAACGCCTGCATACTTAATATCGAAGGGTTATCAATTAAGCCGGAGACAGAAAACACTGTATTGGTGGCAGACAAAGAACAAAAACTACAGGACCTCCTAGACAAGGCTGTAAGGTGAAAAGAGGACGAGCCAACACATCCCAGAAGACAGCTTGTTTGGTTTTTCATCAAGAGAAAAGGCTACTGATTTGATATATCGAAATCAAACAAGAGCAGAAGATTTGATATCTGGAAATAATTTTCTTTACCAGATGATGGGAAATGAAGCGAAACAGAACAGAGAAGAATATATTGTAATGTTCTAACCTTCTATTTCAAACTGATTGTATCAGGTGTAAAAGCAAAATTGTCGAAATGTTAAATTTAGTTTGAACCGTTGTATCTTAGAAACGATTAAAGATATATTACTGGAATTCTCCGAAGTTTTTATAGCACTATTAGACTAAAAGAAATTATAACTACTCTCTAAGCTTAACAGAAAAATCATGATCAAATCAATCATTAACAAAAATGACATGTTCATAATTAATTAATCATAGATAAGGATCGGAAGCACAAGAAGGCTTGAAATAAAGTCTCTCTCTCTCTCACTCTCTATCTATCTATCTATCTATATATATATATATATATATATATATATATATATATATAGTTGTATAGTTAGGCAGCAATCCTTCCTTTATGCATGTTTCATTAAAAACAACAGGCAAGGTACTACGGTTGAGATTTTTATTTAATTTTTCTTGTGTTCTGACAAGAGCTTTCTTTTCTGGACAAAGGGTGTGTAAGAACTGTCCGAATGTTTTATATTTCCGAGCGCTTTCGGCTATACCTTTAGCCATTATCAAGGATGATTCGATTATCAGCTTAGTAGAGTGTGTGAGTTCTGTGTATGTTCAGTGTGTGGTAGTGATGTTTTTAATTTCCGAATACGGTTAGCACATTGTGGCTTTGTTCATAAGTAATATTGTTAAGAGTTGGCTTTTTCTTTTTTATTATTAGAGCTTCCATTATTTTTAGTCTTTTTTTGCTAGTGGATGCAGTTAATATATTTGTGTTTTCTACTAGTATGTTCCTAATGGTGTCGGGTGAATCCGAGTGTGTGCTTAAATGTGTTCTGATGGAGCTGTGATCAGATAGGTGTAACGTAAGACGTCTGGATAAACATGTGGTTGTGTAGCCGATGTAATTATTTATGAGTCCAGTTTGGTGAGGAACGCAGTTCCTTAAAGGGCATTTGAACTCATAGATAATGTTCGTTCTTTGTAATTTTGACTTAATTGGTGTGTTGTTATTTTTGAGGATAAGGTTGGCCGTCTTAAATTTTTTAGAAAAATCTTTTTTTCTCTGTAGCTCTAAGTTGAAATGATGATCCCTCTTCCTGCAGTGACCTCCTGTTTTCCTCTCCACTGTTCCCTCTTTTTGTAAACTTATTAAACGTTTTCTTGATGGTTCTTGAAGGGACTTTGAAGATGGAAGCATGAGTATGAATATTGGTACCATTACTGATACTGAATGATCTTTTCCTCTCACCAATGCTCATTTGGGAAGACAGTGGGGCTGACACAAAACGATTTTAACCTGTTCTCTTTCTAGCTGAATAACTCAAAGGGTTTTTCAGTGATTCCCGCAACAAATGGAATCAAGATGGCTAAACGTCTTATATGAAAACCAGGAAAAACTCATTAAGTTTAGTGGATTGTTAAATATTAAATATTTTGTGAGATGAACAATTCTGATGTTACACTCTGTATATTTACTTTTTATTAACATTTTCTTACGGAAACATTCCAACCTGAAGATGTCAATTATTGAGAATAATTTTTGCTTGCACGTATTAATATATGTTTCTGTCATATATATCAATATTTTTTTAAACTATTAACATAAAACGAAATAAACCAGCAAAGATGTTTTTCAAACTTTCATTTCGCTTTGTAAGAGCTTCTTATTTTTATTCATATTCTTATTATGTGCCTTTCATGGCGTGGGCAAACTTTCCATTACTTTCTATTCTTTTTAGCACTTAGTAACGCTTGTCTCCTTGCTATAGCGTTCTGCCATCCATTCATAAAATCTCAACACATAAGTTCCCCGCTGCCTCGACTTTTCCATCTAGATATTCCGTGAGTGTCAACTTTTATAAGTCTTCCTTCCTTTTTTACTTTCAGCTGCCTCTTTCTGAGTCTGTCTTTTAGGTTACCATTTCCTTAAAACTTCCTCGTTATTCACGTGTTCAGTCCATGGTATTCTAACCACACTTCTTTAGAAACACATTCCTGTTGTCTCCAGATTTCTCGTCAGCTTTGCCGAGATTGTCTAACATTTACTGCCATATACGGAGACTGATAGCAGTTCAATACTCATTTCTTTGTTTCTAACGATTTTTTTCTTTATTATTATTTGGCTTATCTTTTAGAATACATATTTTGCATTTCCAAGCCGCCTTCGTATTTTGGTACCACATTTTCTCTCGTCCGTTATAACTCTTCCAAGAGAGATATACTATAGAATTAAGTTTTCTTTTAATCTACACAGGACATATATCTTTTTTTATGTCGCCTTTGCATCGAGATATGGATCCGTGTTGATCAAACTTATGTTTCATAGGCTTACGAGAACTGTCAGTAGTAGTATCATTTTCAGCTCACTGCCCCGGTGTCATGACGGTAGGCATAGATACATCTGGCTCAGTAAGGGGCAGTCTGTGACGTTGGAACTCTATATTAATAATCTGCAAATCCAGCTTGCTGATAATTATCCGATGACACTATAGACATAGAATTATTAGTAAGAAAGTATAATACTATAGGGATATCTCCCTTTGGTAGATATAAGTGACGTGGGTCACGTGACCACGCTTAATGAAGTCACATGATACAGTGACGAGAGTGCCCTTTCAGTCAGTTTGTTAACAGCAACCAAATCGAGCGGTTGTTATTTTAGCCCGAGGTCGGGCTGAGACTACATCTGTCCCCATCCTTAGCAGCATACAAGTACATGGCACCGTTTCTATTTGAAAATATATATTTTCCCAGATAGAGAAAGAAACTCAGATTTTCAGTCTTCAATTTGGGAAAATTCGCCTTGTCTGCGACATAGATGAATCCGGCCCGTTTGAAACTTGGGACCTAAACATGGCTTCTCCAGAAACAGAAGAATTTCCCTATTATATATGAGACCCTTCCTTTTTGTTTCTCTTTACACTCTGCTTTGCAGTGTAGATATATGTGATATATTTTTCTCTGCGTGGGACACGTGTATATATATTTTGTGTATGCCTCAGTGATATAAAAGTCTCTCTAAGGACAAAGTATGTCTGTCATACCTTTTCCTTTCAGCTATTCCGTTCCGTCCGGTGTTATTATATCACGGATATGATAATGCCCATAACGAGGGAAATACAAATGGGAGAATAAACCTTTCAACGATAACTCTCTCTCTCTCTCCTATTATAATATGATCTAAGTATAATAATAATAAATATGAGTGTTTTGAAGGAATAGTATAAATTATCTTTGAAAAGAAAATACAATATGCATGTTTTTACGCACTAAGTATTAGAAAGCTAGCTTTTTCGTTAAGGTGAATAAAAGGGAATTGCTTTGATTAAAAAAATGATGTATAACCTTTACTAAGATACTTAAATTTCGAAACGTGGAGTGCATATATTTTTGCTAGCAGTTATTCATGAAGAAAAGTTTCATAAGAAATGCGTACAAAGTCAAAGGTCACTCCTCGAAAAGACATACAACCTGCTTGACATTTAAAAACAAGATAGCAAAATCCAGTCATTTTAAAAATCATGTCGGTTCTTCTTCACTGATTAAAATTTCTGTACAGTGATATTCGGTGAAGAAAATTTAGGAATATCAGAATAAAGTCTATTTCAAAAATCTCATTATATAAGTGCCGTTTTTCGCACGACCTAAAACGTTCATAAATTTATAATAAGACTTCGTTTGTCGATTATTTTGAAGAGAAAGGTAAGATCGTGTCAATTTTAATTATTCAGTTCATGATTTGCTTTTTTCCTAACATTTACGACCCGTAACCCATTAGGGGCACCACATAGCCGCGGTGATTTATCTCCGGCAAGAGAGATAAATTTACGCCTTTTCTGGTCTGCTTTACTTTTTGCATTCGTTCTTTTTTTCTGTTAGCTCGAATTTATAGGGACATTATTATTAATAAATAAAAATATAAAATAAAAATAGTAAATATCAAAAATAAAATAAAACATTAAAACCTTGTTAAAAAAACGAAAATAATAAAAGTTCTTCCTGCCTGAAAACGTATTCTTCGTGCCAAAAAAAAAAAAAAAAATTGCCGAACTCACTCTCATCGCTACGGGCCGTCAAAGGGTCAAGACGCCCATCTCCTCCCCACGTCACTTTGCTTGTCATAAGACGAAGTGACTTTCTTCCTCTATCATATGCAACCTTAAAACGCATAACTAAAATACATACACACCAGCACACAGAAATAAATAAAATTATATGATTTTAATTTACAATTTAACATGGTTTAATGTTATTTGTATATTTTAATCATGTGAACATGAGGATATGATGTGAGTGAACCCACAAAATATTTGCCCTTCATCACATGCACCATAACTGCTTCGACGTTTTTGCCCAGTTTAAATTTACCAAAATATTAAATCAATTTAAATAATTTCTTTAACTCTTTCAAACCTAGAAAACTGTTACGTCATGGCACCAATTTTATTGTAAAATATAAAAAAAACACCAAAAACTAACTTACATAAAACAGTTTTTGCTTACTTAGGCAAGTTGCTTTTTCTTTTTTTTAAAATAATCTAAGTACTACTACACGACACCTTATCTCTAAGAAAAGGTGATCATATTCCACCCAGAATTCTCAATTCGAGTTAAAGGCGCCAAAACTTCGCAAAGCTGGCGTAGTTTTCCGCCCATCGATGTAGACGCCATTTTGTTATATATGAACGCCTCCGCAGTCGTCGAATGTAATTTGTTCGCGCTTCGCGTCCATTAGGTGTTGACGCGGCCTAGACAGCTAATCCGCGAAGTAAAATAGAGCCATCCTCCCAAGTGACAATACTGTCTCATCTAATCACTTGGGCTATTTGAAAGTGTGCCCAATGTTTCAAAGGCGTTTAATGTGACTACACTACACGCAGCATGTTAAGAGTGCATATAAGTAACATGACGTTCGCTTCGCGCTCGGGTTTGTAATTAAGGCTGATGCGTAAAGATCTTTGTAATATATCTTTCTTTTCTTTCTTCCCTTTTTTTACTTTTGTTCATTTCTTTTTCTTTTCTTATTTTTATTTCTGAATCTAATTTCCCTATTTTTCTGGTTTTTATTTATTTTTCTTTGAACAGTTCATTTTTTTTTCTTTATTTGTCATCTTTAATAACATTTTCATTTCTTTTTTTATTCATATTTCTTCTATCACGTAAGCCAAGTCCGAGCTACAATTTTCTTTCTGTTTTTTTTTAAATCGATTTATTAAACTTCTATTTTCATTTGCAATTTATGTATTCGATGAAATTTGTTTTATCTGTTGATTCAAAACCCTCTCTTTTCCTCCATTTATATTTTTTCCCTTGTTTTTAATCATTTTTTGCATTTTTTTTTTATTCATCCACTTTATCTCGTTCTCATTTCTTTACTTTGGATAACGACTCGGAATGAAAACTCAGAGAGACGAGTTTGAATTTCAACTGTATTCGTTTCAATCATTTTTTCAATTCGTTTTATTCATTTATTTATCCTTCTTGGCGGTCTTCTCCTTTCTTTTTAACCCTTTTTTCTCTTTCTTTCTTTATTTTTCTATCTTTTGAGTCTCATATCCTTTCTTTTTATTACTTTATTTCTTTCTGTCTTTCGTTCTTTTTTTCTCTTTTTTTTTTTGTTCATTTATTTATCATTTTAAAGTATGTTCCTTTCATTTAATCTCTTTCTTTCTTGCTTGCTTTTTCTTTCTTCTTTTGACCTTTGATTTATCCATTTTTGGAGTTTTCTTCCTTTCTTTTTTTACCTCTCTTTCTTTCTTTCTTTATTTATTTTTTTATTTTTATTTTTTGTCCATTGATTTATCATTTTTCAGGGTCTTTTCCATTCTTTTTATTTCTTACTTTCTATCTTACTTTTTCTTTCTTCTTTGACCTTTTATTTATTCTTTATGGAGTTCTCCTCCTTTCTTTCTATCTCTCTTTCTTTCTCTTGTTTTGTCCATTGATTTAATCTTTTTTCGGAGCCTAATCCTTTCCTTTTCTCACTTTCTTCCTTTCTTTCTTTCTCTTTTCCCTCTTGTTTTGTCCTTTTATTTATCTGTTTTGAGGGTCTTTATCCTTCCTTTTTCCCCCTTTCTTTCTCTAGTTTTTCTTTTTATTTATCCCTTTTTGGATTTTCTTTTTTCTTTTTATTCCTTTTCTTAATTTCTTTTCTATCTTGATTTATCCTTTTTGTGTGTCTTTCTTTCTTTCTTTTAGTTATTTTGGCCTTGTATTCATGCTTTGTTTTTTTGCTTTTTTTTTGCTTTTTTTTTGTTTTTTGGGCTGGGGAGGATATTCTTCTTTCTTTTTAGTACTTTCTTTTTCTTTTATTTATATTTTTGGGGTATTTCCATCTTTCTTGTTTTTCCTTCCGGTTTTTATTCCCTTTTTTTTATTTCTCTCATTCATCAGCTTTATATCATACGGTCTTCTTCTCGACTTTCTCCTTTCATTCTTTCTTTTTCCTCTTTTATTTGTCTAGTTATTTTCTTTTTCTTTCACTCTTGTCAGTCTTTCCCTTCCTCGTCGGCGTAACCTGTTTCATATTTCTTTTTTTTTTTTTTCTTTTTTTTTTCATTTTCTTGCTTTTTCTTCACCGCTTTCTCCTTGCATTCATTTTTTAGTTTCTATCTTTTCTTTTCTATTTTGTTTGTCTTTCTTCATTTTTCTCTTTATCCTTCTCTCTCTTCTGGCTTTCACACTCATTCCGTCTGTATTTTTTCTTCCATCTTGAATTCTCTTCAGTAATTTAAATTTTTATTGCACTTTTTAGTCTTAGTGTAATATTTTCTTACTTTTTTATGTTTTTTCTTTACTCCTCGTTCATTCTCTTTGTCCCTTTTTTTATCTTCCTTTTATGACTTTTAAAATTTTTCCCGCCCATTCTTTTTTCTCTCTTTCGTTTTTCTTTCTTTTCTACATTTCCTTTTCCTTCATCAACCACGCCTTTCTATGCTTCAATGGACTTGTCACTCATGATTTTATAAAGTTTTCTTGATACACACACACACATATATATATATATATATATATTTACTGTATATATTGACATTACTAGAAATACACACACGATTCCATGTATAATAAGAAATACACATATTTTTGATCGGATAGTCATATGGTGGCTGCAATGTAAGTACGGTGATTGGATAAAAAAAACGGAAGATGAAGTCTTTCATTAAGATAATATAATTTTGCGTAACTATTTGCTGTGATTCTTTATTTCATTCCATCATAGATAATGTAACCATTTTTCCACACATATGTTGTATTCGAATGATTAAATTGAAAATAAAAATTTCTTGATTGCGCGTTTCGTTTTGTGAATGACCTTCTTAGGACTAAGAACAGTTTTATTCATGGAAACAATCTTATATATAAGAAGTGTAAGCTGGAGAACTATATAAAGCACCCGTTACAGTTACATCAAAACGTTAAAAATAATGAGACGCTTAATCTTTATATTTAAATTTTGACGTGCAGTCTAAATAGAAATTTCATATATATATATATATATATATATATATATATATATATATTATTTTTGTATTAGATAGATATGTTAGATTTTGAAGAATGGATTCAAAGAAAAATGGCAATGTAATGTCTTAGTCGTGAATTTATATTTGGCAATAATGTTAAGTTTTCAGGATATATATATATATATATAGAGAGAGAGAGAGAGAGAGAGATCTTCAACATTAGATCGTCCATGGTGTGTGTATGTCACCACGAAATGTATCTTTATGCATTAGACATCCGACAACATTCATATTTCTCTTACTTAAACCCCTTCCACTCACCTCTCCTAAAATTCTCTCTGTTAAGGTTTAATCTCCCTCCTTCTCTAGTCTGTTACCCCTCTTTTAGCTCTAACATTCGTCCCACACCCTCATACTTACACTCTCTCTAAATTCTGTTTTTATTTCCGGAGTTGTTTTTTCTGTTTTCTTTTTGAATTTGTAGGTCTGATGAATTGGATCGTATTTACGATTCCAATGGAATAAATTATGACCATGGAATATTAGTGTTTAAGCCTTTTTATTATATATATATATATATATATATATATATATATATATATGACCATTACGGATCTGAAGAATTCTTTTCTTAGAACGAAATGAGTCACTAAGTAAGGATTTTCATTTTGTTATTCGCTTTTTTTACAATTACTCTGTTATTTTAACACATTTTGATGCAATATGTGGCAATGTTGCTCGTCCTTGAATGCTGTATTTATATGCCGAAAACTTTTATTGGATAACCTTCCGTCAGTTCTTTCTTCGGAAAGTTATTTACGATAAACGGCATCAATGCGGTCTATTCATTTCTCACTGCTTCTCATTGCTGGCCAGTTTTCCGAATAGCCCCCCCCCCACCAATCAGTTTGTCCTTTATATACGCCAATATGTTCTCAATAAAATTAAGATTAGTAGAATGATCAGGGGAAAAGTCTTCCACTCAAAAAAGTGATTTTCTTGTTTTAATTGTGTGTGTTCTTCTCTGATAACGCCGTATTTACCATTTATTTTCACTCCAAGACGTTTAGTCCGTAGAGTTAATGGCAATTGTACCAGTTCGTCAAGTCCAGATGCAGAAAATGTATTTCCACAGTGATATGAATTAAAAGTGAAGACGACAAAGATGGACATTTGACAGCATCCTCTTCGCGTTCAAACAACAACGTCACGACGGCGTATACCAGTGCGAGTCTCTCTTCCGTCAGGTAGATGTCGCCAGTCGTGTCTTGCTAACCATGCGGCGTTGTAGCGGTCATCTACCCGTCACTAAACAGCCGCGGTGGCTTCGATTATTTTTAAGCGTGCATGCGAGCTCACTTGTCTGCTAAACGAACTCGATCGCTTAAGCTCTCCTCTCAAGCCCCCAAACATCCTAGTGATGTGGTTGGGTTAATTGCGGTTTCGTTTTCTCGCGCTTGAAGCAGCAATAATATTCCATCGGAGGCAGCATTCTGAAACATCATCAGACTGCTAACAAAAATATCTAAAAAGAAGACACTAAACTAATAGTAAGGATATCATGGACCCTTCGTGTGAGCGACGATGAAGTCTTAGAGAAGATGTAAACAAGTAGGAGCCTTATACATGACATCAGGAAGAGACAACTGAAGTTCCTGGGACACATAATGAGGAAAGAGGACCCGGAGAATCTGATACTCACGGGTCGAATAGAAGGAAAGTGAGACAAGGGAAAACAACGCATGACATACCTAACGGCTTTAAGCAAGTGGATGACAGAATAGGGTCCGGGGGAGGTGGCAGAGGGAAGGAACAAGTTGAGAGCTGCTAGGGATAGAGGGAGGTGATGAGCCATGATCATCTACGTCCTGAAAGGACACGGCACATAGGAAGAAAGAAAGAAATTAAGCAATTCAAATTTACCGAAAAATACATAAAATTTACCACTAAACAATGGAAAATATTTTTCTTTGTCCTTTTATTTTATTTTTTATTTATTTATTTTTGACTGACGACTCTAAGCTTGACCACTTTGTTTATTATCATAGGAAGTGGGTAACGAGAAGGAAAAGAGAGCATTACCATGCCATCCCTTAAGCATGGTGGAAGCAGGGATCTGTTTTCTGCTGAATGGGTTAGAGCTATCTGCGTAATAAATGATCTAATGGACGGAAAATACATATGACCAGATTCAGTTAAATCATGTTGTATCAAGTTCAGGAAATTCAAGTCACGAAATCTAGGAAGCTACATGTTGGTGGTTTACAAGCATACTCACAATTCTCGATCAGGCTTTCTTGGTTCGTGTGGAATGTGAGAGGCAGCAGAATCCAGCTAAAACACGTCTTAGACTTTCATTGATCCATCGTGTTCTTAATGTCAACCTTGACTGGTGGAATTGATCCTGAGACACTACCCGAAGAAATGAGACGGCATCATATGAATCTCATTGCTCACTACCCCGAAGACGATGGCAATGGCATGTGACGTGGACTTGGTATTGATAACATCATGCGGTCTACACTGAGCGTCATGGCCTTCATTTTGTCCACCTTCTGGTGTTGAAAGACTAGAGCATACCGAGTTCTTTGTATTGCTTCAGCTTGTTCAGCGAGCGTTTCCGTCTAAAGTGCTGTGTGTAAATGATATATACGTTTACCAAAAGGATGAGTGCGAAATGAACTAAGACATTGGTAATCATATTACGAAAAGAGCTCACCGATTCTATCCTCCGAACTACTAAAACTTAGAACCTTGGACTACCCACTTCTACTTTTTATAGTCTCGCAAAATGCTCTCTGTCTCTCAAAAGGTAAGGATAGGTAAATTAATATATATATATATATATATGAGAAAGGAATGAATATTTTGTTTATTAATCCGACAGATTTTTTATACTTAAACATTATTTTAAGTGGAAGTTCGTATTTGAGTAGACGCTTCATTTACTTATTAAACAGGATTTATTTCCGTCTATCGACCTAAATATTTGAGAAATCTTATTAAAAAATTATGCGTTCTTCCGCAGGATTCGAACCTGCATTCCCCTAGGGAAGACTGTCATTAGATCTGACGTCCTTTGGCCTCTCTGAGACTTACGATTAACACATAATTAAATCGTTGTGTCATAAATAGAGATACCAAGTTGAGAACTAATGCCACCAGGAAGGTCATTTCTGATAATTAGGAACATCGTTTAAGTTTTAAGGATAACGAGTTGGGGGAATCTGCTTTAATAAAAAAAGATCTAGAAGTGTGGCCGTCAAAACAAGGTTGATTTCGTAAGAAAAATTGATTCAAATAAAAAAATCCACAACATTTCAACTTTTGGAGAAGGCCAGTATGTGAAATCCTGTCAAATGACTGTATATATTTCTAAGTGTCCTCAAGGACACATGGTGCAGTGGATAAAGGCGTTAGTTAGATCCAGTGACAGGACCCAGGAGTTCAATACCTGGTAAAGGCGGTGGAGAACTTTGGGAGGGGAATTAAAAGGAGATAACTGACATCCCTTAGACACGCCACGTGGAACTAGAACAGTCTACCCCAGTGAGCGTAATAAAGGGTTCAGTTCAACATTCTAACCACCTGAAGAAGGCCGGAGCGTACAACGGTAGAAACGTTGTGATAAACATGGCGACAAAGATGAGGACAATAGTCCGAATAATGTAAATACTGCCAAATGCCTTCGAGATATACAAAGTAACATCTCAAGCTTCACTATTCTTATCTACAGGATCTTTCATCAGTAACGGTTAATACATCAGCAGTTGACCTAGAAAAGCGAAAGTCATATTGGTTATCTGAAAGAAGACGCTGCGTGATATTATACTTAACTAATTCAGATTTGTTTAGTCTCTAGTACTTTGCCAAAGAGAAATAACTGATCAGTTTAGAGATAACAGCTTTAATCATGGACGGAGTTATATGCATATTGCACAATAGAGACTCAGTGGAAAGTCAAGAAGAGTTACTTCAGATGTGTCAAGATTAGCACTGGATGAGAATTTACGAGCAAATCATTCTGTTTTATCAGCAGAAGATATTAAAACCTCAAATTAAATGAAGAGAGGAGGGATAAAATACTTACTCTTATCTAACACACTATTACGGAGACGCCAGGAGTCAAGAGAACCAAATTTGTTAGAGGTTATACGTTGTCCTATTCTGTCACAAACAAAGACTTAGCCTCTTTGAGGACACGTTTACAATTATTAGGTGAAGAAATAGAGAGCCTTTATTGTGACCTTAACTATCACGCTGGTACACATAGAAAAAGTGATTCCTTTGAATTATTGCGGCTTAACACGCAGGCATGAACCAATAAGAACTTTCTGGTATTTCTGAGATAACGAAAAAGCATTAATGCCGACTTTATCCCAAGAAATCTCAGTGGCACAAATTTCAATAGGAAGATTAAAAATATCAACCCAAGAGGCCTTTCTAAGAAAGATAATCAGTACGCTGCTAAAAAAAATACGTTTTTTGAATAGGAGGTGACTGTCTATTATACGAC